CTATTCTATTCTATTCTATTCTATTCTATTCTCTATTCCATTCCATCTTCTCTTCTCTTCTCTTCTCTTCTCTTCTCTTCTCTTCTCTTCTCTTCTCTTCTCTTCTCTTCTCTTCCGTTCCGTTCCGTTCCGTTCCATTCCATTCCATTCCATTCCATTCCATTCCATTCTATTCTATTCTATCCTTAAGTATCTTTCTCTGGCCTTTAAGCACAGGAGGCTCTCTTTAGTGTCGACTTCCTTTCAATCATCTAAGGCAGAATAACGTAGGGTACTTTCTGATCCAATGTGTCTACTGAGTATTACAAGGCCCTCATGCAAGGGAAACATCACGCTTTCCGAGATGAAGAATGCTGTGTTAACTGAAAGGTGGCTGGCCTGAATAACCCAAGCAGGTTCTTCCACGAAGGTCTGTGTCAAGATGCCACCCACAACCACGTGATCTGTAGGGCTTGTGTAAAAAAAAGGACAGAGCTTGGACTCCATGTTTGAGATCACCAAATTTTGGATTCTCTCTCTATGGGAATCTATACATCCAAGGCATTTAGACTGGGGTGGGTCTGTTTTTGTTCTTACAGTGCTTAATAAAACAGTTTTTTTTAAAAAAATCAAGGGTTTTGGGGGGTGAAATTGTTCTGACCCAGCTCCTCAAACATGAGAAACCCTCTGACGTGAACTCTAAAGATTCCTTTATTAGGAGTGCCGGCAGCCCCGACAAAAAGTTTCTCTCTCACTGCAGGCTAACAAGTCTCTCTGGCCGGAAGAGGAATAGTTCGTCTATTCATCTCCGCCTCCTGTCTTTTATCCCCAGAGTTAGGGTGGGGTTCGCTAGCAGCGGTGGCTCTTCCGTCCCAAGGACCGGCCCATAGATCTCCACTGCTCTCCTCTCCTCTGCCTTCTGTGCATCCGTGTATCAGGCACTGGACACGGCTGTTCCTCCTCTTCCTCATCAGCCACCTCCAGACCTGGGAGGCTCTTGACTCTCCATCTGAGGGCTGATGGACGGCCCAGCCCCTGCCTCCCTGCTCCCCTGCCCCCCCCTCTCTCTCACACACACACACACACCTCCATTCCCTCTTCTCCCTTGGAGCTCTCAGGTTGCCCTGATGCTGACCCTGCCTCCCCTGCCTCCTTCCCCTCCTCTGATTCAGCTGCTGGAGGGATGGCAGCTGACCGACCATAACAGGAGTAACTTAATTCTCGTCTCCTCCTCCTTTAGAGTGCCAGGCCTGTCCTGCTGGCACCGAGCCAGTGCTTGGACTGGAATATAAGTGGTGGAATACGTTGCCTCTCAACATGAAGACTTCCTGCTTCAACGTTGGGAACTCCAAATGCGATGGGATGAATGGTGAGCTGGTCTTTATATTACATTTCCCATCTCTACCTGCGTGTTGCTTCAGACCCGGAAAGAGATGTTAGATGAGCAAGGATTAAACCAAGCACAGTGTTTCCTACAACATCAATAACTTACGCTGTGCTTTTATCTGAATGGGCGATCAGGATTTAGCTGTTCTCATAGATTGGAGAGCATTTTCTCCTAAGCTTTAACCTTTGCCCAGGGGTCAGCTGCGTGCTGAGGAAAAGCACCTCCAACCCAGAGCAAAGGAAGAATGTCCTTCTAAGGATCTCAGCCGTCCCTGGCAGAGGAGAATGTTAGGTCCAAGATGCAGCCATTGCTTTTAAGGTGAGAAATGGGCCTGCTGTGCCTCTCGGAGACTTCAAGGTCGCATTTCTTCTCTTAAAAAGCCCACAACAATTCCCATAAATTCACTACATCTACCCTGGGGGCTCACGGCATCTTTGAGTTGTCTCCTGTGGCCCTTTGGGTGGCCAGAAACTTGGAGATGGCCTCCGCTTGGACCTCTGGCAAATGGGAACCTTTGCATGATCAGTGATACCTCTTCATAACCATTGGTCCATGTTCCTTGAAGGCTACCATAGCAAGCCGTAGTTTCTGTACCCATGGGCAAGGGGTGTGTGTGTGTGTGTGTGTGTGTTTGTGTAAACCAAAGTGATTGGATTTAGGGAAGATGGGTTAACATTTTCGAAATTACAGATGGTCTATCTATAGATGGGGCTTTCCTTTTTCAGGCTGGGAAGTTGCCGGTGACCACATCCGGAGCGGGGCAGGAGGCACAGATAACGACTATCTCATTGTGAACCTCCACGTACCAGGATTTAAGTAAGGAGCAGAGTAATTTCTGATGGGTCTGGCGAGGGGATTATGCTCCGGTCCTTTAGCAAGCTCTCAAATGGAGCTTGGAGGGCAAACCTGGAGGAGATGCAGTGGGCGTCCTTCTCACAATCTGCTTTGTTTGCGTGTTAAGAAGCATAATTTCTTTTTAAATATGTTGTCATTTTATTATACAAACAGTAGGAAAATAGGGGAGGGAGAAGGGAAGGGAGAAGTGTAGGAAAAAGGGGAAAAAAAGAAAGAAAAGGCATTGAAAGTCTGACTCCCTTTGGTGCAGTAGGATAAGATGGTAGCATCAAACCTCAACTTTTTACTTTTACATAATAATATAAACTAGCCACTTCCATAACAACAAACCCATCTAATCGGTAAAACCCCAAATCAAAGTTTTATTTTTTCCACCTCAAGCACAAAGGTCAGAAGTGGTTTCCAAGAAGAAACAAAATAATTATGGCTTTTTTCTTTAATAAGAAGCATAATTTCTGAAGCTGAGTTTTAATAAGATAAAGTACAAATAGCATACATGCTGTATGTGACTACACACACACACTAAAATTGGCAGTTCATTGAAGGAAATAAACAGTCTCTATAGTAAAGGGGTCCAACCTTAGCAACTTTTAACATGTGGACTTCGTCAAGGTCTTTTGACACACACGAGTTCTATCTTAACTTTAGGAAGAGGTAATAAAGATCCTTTATCATTTAATTTTTTTAAAAAATTAGTAAAATAGAACAAAAATAGCCTGCACAAGGCAAAAGATGCTCAACTTTTTTTAATTTGTGAGAAGAAATCCATTCCTGAGTTTGAGAAGAGCCAGGTAATGAACAGCAAGATGGCCTTTTCGTCTCTCTGACCTTAAATAGCTAGCTATTTTGAAAGAAGGCCGACTTGGAGCCCCTGGCAACTCACCCTTTCTGCTCTGTTGAACAGGCCTCCCACGTCAGTAACAGGAGCGATGGGCTCAGAACTTGGGCGCATCACTTTCGTCTTTGAGACCATCTGCTCTGCAGACTGCGTACTCTATTTCATGGTGGTAAGTGAGGAGGATCCATGGAGGAAAGTCTGTAGAGATTCTACAGCTGGCCCCATCCTGCCAACTTTATCTAACAACCTCAGTCCTGCTCCAGTGGTGGGATTCAAAAGGTTTTATCACCGGTTTGGTGGGTGTGGCTTGGTGGGTGTGCTTTGCCTAATGCCGGTGTGCAGCTATGCCCACACCGGCCGAGACCTACAGCACCGATCAGCTGAGAGGATAAAGGAGAGAAAAGCGGGGGGGGGGGGGAGGATTTTTTCCTCCTCTCAGCTGATGGTTGGCTTTTTTTTACTACCGGTTCGGCCAAACCAGTGCAAACCGGTAGCATATCACAACTGTCCCGCTCCCTAACGTGTGCTTTCTTCGTGGTTTTTTTTTTGTCTGTTTTGATTGGTTTTTCAGGACATCAACAAGAAGAGCACCAATGTGGTGGAGTCGTGGAGTGGGGCCAAGGGCAAGCAGTCGTACACCCACCTCATCTCCAAGAATGCCTCCTTTACGTTCACCTGGGCTTTCCAAAGGACCAATCAAGGCCAAGATGTAAGTCTCACAATCCTTTCACTGAAAATGAAGGGGTTTTTTTTGTAAAGCTATGAGACAAACTTCAGTTTCCAGCTTTCAAAGAGCCGGCAAATTCTAATCCCTAAACAGCTGGAGCAGCACCATTACGATTCCAGGTGGCCCTGGGCTTCCGACCACAACGGAACCCAACATTTCTGCTGTCAAGTGAGACATTGCTTAAGTGAGGTTTGCCCCATTTTGCGACCTTTCCTGCCACTGTTCTTAAGTGAATCTGGCTCCCCCCCATTTTGATTGTCAGAAAGTCCCAAAAGGGGATCACGTGACTTTGGGACCCTGCAACCATCCTAAATGTGAGTCAGTTGCCAAGTGCCTGGATTTTGATCACCTGATCCTGGGGATGCTACAAAGGTCGTAAGTGTGAAACACGGTCATAAGTCCCTTTTTTCAGGGCTGTTGTAACTTTGAAGAGAGACCATCAAAGACCCCACAATCCTCCTCTTCTTCCTCTTCCTCTTCCTTCTCTTCCTCCTTCTCCTTCTTTTCATTCTCCTTCTCCCCCTCCCCTTCATCTCCCCCCCCCCTTCTTTTCCTTCTGCTCTTCCTCCTCCTCCTTCTCCTCCTCCTCTTTTATGCAACCCCCACTCCCTTCTAGCACTGATTACGTTCCCGAGTGAGAGAATGAACCGTTTGCAAGAAAACCACCAAGCCCAGAGACCCCCAAGGACCCCAGACTTCAACCTCCAGCTACAAATATTCTCTTCTCTTTGCAATTACTAAAGTGGAGGTGTTGCAAATGGCTCTTTATATACCTGAGTGTAGCATTTCTTAGATGGTGATGATAGACAGGATAGAAAACTGATGCATTTAATGGGTCTTAGTGGTCTATTTTGGGGGGGGACTGTTTCTTTCAGAGCAGGAAGCTGATCAACGACGTGGCCAAGATCTACTCGATCACTGTCAGCAATGTAGCGGACGGAGTGGCCTCGTCCTGCCGGGCCTGTGCCGTTGGTTCAGAGCAGTCTGGCTCCTCCTGCATCCCGTGCCCTGTTGGGCACTACATAGAGAAGGAGACCAACCAGTGTCAAGCGTGCCCTCCCAACACGTACCTCTCTATCCACCAAGCCTACGGGGAAGGAGCCTGCGTCCCTTGTGGGCCTGGCAGCCAAAGCACCCAGGTAAAGTGGGCCCCTCAAAAACCTTGGGCTTTGAAAGAAGCCTGACTATGGAGGATTCGGTCAGTGGCTTGTCTAGATAGACCAGGATGTGTTCCAATCCTGGTCCATCATCTGGTCTCCCTGAGCTTTCTCTTCGTTGGCCAAACATGCTAGTTCCAGTGGTGGTGTTCTACTGGCTCGGCCCATTTCGGGGACACAGCTGACAAGCAGTTGTAAACCAAAACACCTTTCCAGAGATTAGAAGAGGGCAGCTTCCTTTCTCTTTTCTTGTCAAAGAATGTTTACCTGCTCATGCCAGGAGCTTTCAAGAACTCATTCATCTCTCTTCAATGATCGAAGGCCCGGAGACTAAAACATATGAAGAATGGCTGCAGGAATTGGGTTTGGCCAGTCTGGAGAACAGGAGGACTAGATGAGACAGGATAGTGGTCTTCCAGTATTCAAGGGACTGCCACAAAGAAGAAGAGGGGGTTCAAATTATTTTCCAAAGCACCCGAAGGCAGGACAAGAAGCAATGGATGAAAATTAATCGAGGAAAGTACCAACCTAGAAATAAGGAGAAACTTCCTAACAGAACAATCACCCAGTAGAACGGCTTGCTCAATGGAGGTTTTCAGGAAGAGACTGGACAGCCACTGGTCTGAAATGGTATAGGAGCTCCTGCTTGAGCAGGGGCTGGACTAGAAGGTCCCTTCCAGCTCTATTCTGATTGATTGATTCTCTTACTGGAGACATGGAGGTGATAATAGTCCCTTCTTTGGTCAACATCAGGATTTGGAACTTTCAGACCTTACTGAGCTACAATTCCCCCGACACCCAGCCCCAACATAAGGAACAGGAGGGAAGGGATGCTGGGAGTTACAGCTGATGAGTGTCGGGAAGCTGTCGATCTCCCTTTTCTGACCCACCCCGTTGTGAGGATGATTTGGGTGGCTGGTTTTCCTCCTGAGCCTAGTTTCTAACTTGATTCCCGTAGTTTTCCCTGCAGCCGCTCACTTCTAATTTGTCCTCCTCTCCTCTCCTCAGGACCGCTCGGCCTGCTACAATGACTGCCTCTTCTCCTACGTCAGGAACAACCGGAGCCTGGCTTACGATTTCAGCCGCCTGAGCAGGGTGGGCTCCTTAATGAATGGACCGAGCTTCACCGCGAGGGGCACCAAATTCTTCCATTTCTTCAACATCAGCCTGTGTGGGTCCCAAGTAAGCGCC